CATGTGCACCAGCAGACTACCTTTTCGAGTGAAACTGTTCCCACACGTTTCACAAGAATACAGCTTCTCCCCTGTGTGAACTCTCATGTGGCCCAGTAAAGTGCTATTTTTAGTGAAACCTTTCCCACACGTTTTGCAGGAGTACGGCTTTTCGCCCGAGTGCACTGCCATGTGTCTCTTAAATGCTAACGGGTCACTAAAAGGCTTAAAGACCTTTCCACAAACATTGCATTTTAGAGATTTGGTGACTATATCGGTGTTACACGGACTCTCTGATGTGGGAAAGATTTCTGCGTTGCTACTCTGACTTATGTTTCTAGTGGCAGTTGAAGTAGAATCGAAACTCTCGCTTCCTTCCTGATCTCGGCTTTCGTATAGAAGAGAGCTGCGAGAGCCGAGCTGGTCGCTGTCCAGGTCGGGTTCACTGAGATCGCTGTCGTCATAGGTTACAGTCACCATAAAGGTATCAGTCTCCTCCTTCAGTGCACGCTGCTCCCCGTCCTGACTGATGCACAGCTCCTCCTGCTCCTCTTTAACCTGTAGAGACTGTGTTCGGTTCCTCTGCTGAACCTCCTCCTCCTCACAGACATGTTGCTGTTGGAGGTCTGAAGGCACAAATGGAGACACACAAACAAAAAGTTGTCAGAGAAATTCAGCTGAGCCAACAGTGTGAACATGACAGACGCCTCAGGCGGCACGATTACCACTGCAGAAGCACCGACTGCATTTTACTTTGCCGATGAGTTCACATACAAACAAAAATCACTTTTCAAGGCAAACAAATATTTATTCAACAATTTCCCCCAAACTGCACCAAGTTAGAGGATCTGACGGAGGCGCAAAAATCTAGCTGAACATGAGCTGCTGACATATTTTCCTTCACCAAACAAAAGCAGCTTGAACAACACAAATGTTTCCATCATGTTGCTGCATGTTTGGAACACCAGACAACAGGAAATCGACTTTAGCCACTTTGGCTTCGTTAGCGTCTTTGAAATGTTCAGCCGGGTTGCTTGTGTGTGACTGTTTGACCTGCCACCGTGCGGACCAGCCCGTTATCAGGCATCAGAGCGACTGACCGGCTGTTCTTTGCTGTTCTGCTTTCACGCTCAGTTCTCTCCTCAGCACCACAGACAGAACAACATCTGCGTCGCTGCAGATCTGTCACTCTCCTGCTCTGTTCCCTAACTCGTGCACAAGGCGTTAAGATAAACACTGACAGACCTCAGCTTGGCAGGAACTTGAACTCCCTGACCTGGAGGGGTCGCTCCTCCCCTTGTCGACTGAGCTCAGATCTTTTTCCTGCAGCTTCACACTCAGCTGTGAACAAACCCACTGCAAGCTAAAAGTCAATTCAATTTTATTTATATAGCGCCAAATCACAACAAAAGTCACAACAAGGCGCTTCATAGATACAGAGAAA